TCCTCAGTCTGAGGAGCTGTATTCAGCTCAGTCTCTTAAATAGCACCGTCTCAGGGTGGATCAACCAGTTTTGCTGCTGACAACCAAAACCAGCTGATCACATGCTCAAGAAGGACCATCAGCATAACAATGGATCATTAGCACACTGATGGCTGTTTACTACTCACAGAGGGCTGAGTGATACTAGCAATCACAGCATTGTAAGAGGGGGACAGTTGAACCCGGAGGCCTCCACCCCTGTTTAATGATGGACGATTTCTTTTCACAAAGATGGCCTCCTTTACTCCTCTCTCAAAGGTTGCACCAAGTAGAATTCCTCTGGTGGAGATGATCACAGCCACAGAATCAGCCATCCGCAACAACAAAATTAAAGAGGCTGAAGCAGAACAGCTCAGAATCAAAGTTTCAGCCTGCCTCAGCAATGCCAAACCACCACCTTCCAACATCAGTAGAGAGGAGAGGGATGCACTCACCACTCTTAGCAAGGACAAAAACATCATCATTCTCCCAGCAGACAAAGGAAGGTGCACAGTGATTTTGAACCAGAAAGACTATCATGAGAAAGTTATGACACTCCTTAGTGACTTAACCACTTATGAACCTCTGAAAAGAGATCCAGGAAGTGGTTACAAGAAAAAGTTAATAGATTGCCTGAAAATTTTGGAGCAGGACAAGGCTATTGACCGTTTTCTGTACCACAGACTGTACCCAGGGGAGGCCACACCTAGTCTGTATGGTTTACCTAAAATCCACAAACAAGGTGTACCTTTAAGACCAATTGTTAGTATGATTAACTCTGTCACTTACAATGTTTCCAAATATCTGGCGTCTGTACTCATCCCTTTAGTTGGCAGCTCAGAACACCACATACAGAACACCATGGACTTTGTGGACAAGGTGAGGGATGTCATCATGGAGACTGATGAAACAATGGTCTCTTTTGATGTCACATCACTCTTTACGTGCATTCCTGTTGATGATGCAGTAGAGGTGGTCAGTTTAAAATTAACATCAGACACCACTCTGAGCAGCAGGACCACACTTTCTACAGAACAACTGTGTCAACTCTTGAAACTGTGCCTGCAGTCAACCTACTTCACATATGGGGAGCAATATTATAGGCAGAAACATGGGTGTGCTATGGGGTCTCCAGTTTCTCCTATTGTTGCCAACCTGTACATGGAGGAGGTAGAAAAGAGAGCCTTGACGTCCTTTTCAGGGACACCACCAAGTCATTGGTTCAGGTATGTTGACGACACCTGGGTTAAAATTAAATCTCAGGAAGTCCAACATTTTACTGACCACATCAACTCTGTGGATAAATACATCAAGTTCACACGAGAAGATGTAAAAAATGGCAGGTTGGCTTTCTTGGACTGTGAGGTCTCAGTCTCTGATAGAGGACATTTGCAAACTGAGGTGTACCGCAAACCCACACACACAGACCAGTATTTGCAGTTTGACTCCCATCACCCTTTGGAGCACAAGTTAGGAGTCATCAGGACTCTGTACCACAGAGCAGACAGCGTCCCCACTAGCTCAGGAGCCAGGCAGAAGGAGAAATCCCACACAAGACAGGCTCTAGAGCAATGTGGATATCCTAACTGGGCCTTCCTGAAAGCAGAGAAGAAACCCAAACAGGACTCCAGTCAGCCAACAGGTGAAAAGGAGGAACCCAGACCCAGACCAGTGGTCATTCCATATGTTGAGGGAGGATCAGAGAAACTGAGACGTTTATTTTCTAAACATAACGTCCCAGTGGCTTTTAAACCCCAAAATACATTACGGCAAAGACTGGTTCATCCCAAAGATCCAGTCCCCCGGCACAAACAGAGCAATGTTGTGTATGCTGTTCAGTGTCAGGAGGGCTGTGATCAGTCTTACATCGGGGAAACAAAACAGCCACTGGCCAAAAGGATGGCCCAGCACAGAAGATCAACATCATCAGGCCAGGACTCTGCGGTCTACACTCATCTCCAGGCCAGCGGTCACTCTTTCAGGGATGAAGATGTTCACATCCTGGTCAGAGAGGAACGATGGTTTGAGAGAGGAGTAAAGGAGGCCATCTTTGTGAAAAGAAATCGTCCATCATTAAACAGGGGTGGAGGCCTCCGGGTTCAACTGTCCCCCTCTTACAATGCTGTGATTGCTAGTATCATTCAGCCCTCTGTGAGTAGTAAACAGCCATCAGTGTGCTAATGATCCATTGTTAGGCTGATGGTCCTTCTTGAGCATGTGATCAGCTGGTTTTGGTTGTCAGCAGCAAAACTGGTTGATCCACTCTGAGACGGTGCTATTTAAGAGACTGAGCTGAATACAGCACCTCAGACTGAGGAAGTCTCTCGGATGAGAGACGAAACGTTTCTACATTTTTTTGTTGATTTGCTTTGTTTTTTTTTTTTTTTTTTAATGTCCAGAGGACCAGATTTAACTTTTTTAGATAATGGATGGATGGATATATATATGCATAAATATTATTTATATTTATATAAATATAAAACAATAAGCTGTGAACTATTGGCTATATTTGCAATATGAAATGTGCTTAATTTGGGAGCACCCAATGGTGTGATTTACTTTGTGAATTAATTGACATGAACGGTAAGATCGCTCCGCACATGCGGAAATGTAACCCAGGGCGAGCTAACCTCTGACAAACAAAATCGCTGTAATGGCAAAGTTAGTGAAGCTCACAGTGTTACCTGAGATATTTCTGCCTTATCAGCCAGTAAGGGAATCCCCCCCCCCTCCCTTCTTTCACATGTTGTGTGTCAGACCTCAACAGAAGCTACATGCACCTGGCGGAGGGCGCTCACTCCCCGCAAATGGACGATAGGAAACCTATATGTAGGCTAGACATGATCTATGAAATGATGAATTTTATTTTTTTGAAGGTGGATGTGGGGCCAGGTGCTCTTGCCTCCCTTGATGAGATGTTGCCCTGGGCAGCTGCCTATATCGACCAAATCAGAAACCACCACTGGAGGACTGGTATCTGAAAGATATGAGTTGGACGAACTGAGTGTGGCCAAAAAGACATGAGTGAAACCAAGCAAGGGGTGTGTGGGTGATGCCAGTGGGTGATGCCAGTGGGTGATAATCTATTAAGAAGGATGTTGTGGAAGATGAATAAAAAGACTACATTCACATCAAGGAGGATGAGGGAAAGTAAACCAGAATTTGCTGCCATGCGAAGAGCATTTGTGATTTTCAAGACAGCAGATTCACAAGAGAGTAAGTGAAGTACCTGCTTCCATTTTGGTGTGTGGCTACATCTAGGCAAAAAAAAAAGTTTACTTTCAAAACTGGGTTGCCATGTCAAAATCTAAGATAGCTGCCGCTATACATGTTTGTCCTTCTTGTGAGCTAGATAACTTGAAAAATAAGCAACATGCTGACTTTCTTTTTGGTGTGTGGCTACATCTAGGCATAAGAAATGCCACTATTAAAAATTTGGATGTCACGTCAAAATCCAAGATGGCCACCGCCATATGTGTATGTAAACCTACCACCCCTATCATTTAAGAAAACTGCTTTCTAGTCTAACACGGTTGAGTAAGGTCCTCTGGATGAAGAATCCTTCCAGCATATGGACAGGAAAAGATCAAGATATGTTTTCTAGTTTTTATATTGCTTAAAAGTATATTTTCCTCAATGACTGGGGTGGCCAAAGATTAATTTATGGTAACCAAGGCCACCTTTAGCCACCCACTGGCTCTGCCATCGAACCTGGTGGAGGATAAAATTACTTTCTCCACTCACCAAGATCTGTCACTCTGCCTTGCAGAAGCAAAAATAAAAATAAAACAACTACTTCTGTTCTTAGTGCACTCTTACCCACTTGAATATCTTGCACCAAAAACACTGTTCGCATTCCCTGTTCAACTCCAGTTCCAAAAAACACTCAACTTAAAAACTTCAAACATTCACTATTCAAATCCCTCAGCAATGGGGGACATTGGTGTACTGCTTGTTTATCTTTATATTAATAGCCAAGAGCAGAGAAGCATTACTGGTACATAAAAAAACAAGAAGATCAGACTCTGAGCAAGAAACCAGGACACCTAACAGGATGGTATTTATAGTCTTTATAGTGTGTGAATTGTCTTAGTTTAAAAATACATTTTAATCCATGATTAGATAACCTGCTCAGGCAGAAAAATACATCTTGTGTGCTGCAAAGATATTTTAAAAAAGCTATTCTTAGTAGCCTTATTTAAACTGCTGATTAAAACAGGTTTTGCATCTATAGCATCCTTTTGGGGCGAGGAATATTTCAACTTACTTTGGATAAGAGTAAAAAAAGAAAGAAAGGATCTATCTCTCTGGTTATTAGTGTACTGTATTGAAAAAAAGCCTACCTAAGTTAGAGCTTCCATTTTCAGAGTATATTTGTAGCTCAACTCAACTTTTTAGTTCTCAGATGATCTCAAGGGTCATCTTACTGTTTATATTGAATCCTTACTCTCAGACAAAAACCCTTGGCCTCATTTAATTTGAATGAAATGTGTGATGATGAGCAGTTAGTCAGCACAAAATGAAGCAACATTGATGTTCAGTTCATTGATATTCTGTGAACAGTGTGACATGTACAATGATTTAATGGGATGTAAAGTAATGTGGACTCTTATCCCAGAAGAAACACAGTGTGTTGCTGACAGATTAAAGCACCAAACGTCCTCATCAATAAGAAAACAGATAAGAAAATGCTGAGCATATCTGTAATTTAGTCCATTGGAGTGAGGAGAAAGTATCTCTAGCTGAAACTAAAGGGCGGTACTGTAACATGCCCTATACACTGTATATCCATGCTCCACTCAAAATCAGGAACTGATCAAAGAGCTCCTCCTTCTGATAACACCAACAAATTTTCTAGAAATCTAACCCACTTCTCTTTGGTTTAAAACTTTGACCACAAAAAAAGAAGCAAAAAAAGTGCTCACAGGAACTGTTGTGGTTTGACAACAGAGCCGCGAGGCCAGAATCTCACCTCATTCTTGTCTTTGGTGTGAGAAGTGCTCTTGCTAGTAGTCTCTCGTGCCGGAACCACAGTGATCTGTTGTACTGGCATGCCTCGGTTTCCAAGCAACGCTCCGGTGCTACTCCAACAGCATCCCCATCCCAATGCTCGTTTCAGTCCTCTCTCCCATCCGCGGGATCTCAGAAAAATGAGATGCTACTTTTGGATCGTACTTCTTTATCAGCCCAATCCAGGTCATCAGAGGAAGAGGGAACAGGTCACTGTGGCAACAAGACAGCTCCAAAGATGATGGGGTGTGAGGTTGTCATGACGACTGGGAAGCTATTCAACAGTGCACACCATGTCCTTCTCTTTCTCCCACGCCTTCAACCTCCTGCTGTGAGACAGACAAGAGGGGAAGAGTTGAGACGGAGCTTAGTAGTAAATAAAACAACAGGAAAACTGTGCAGTATCTGTGTCTATCTCAAAGGAGTGGGTCCAGGATCTTGTTGTTCAAGCTGTATAACAAGCATAAGGTCCACAAGGATTAGGGCTTAGACTAACCTCAATCTCCTCCTCTGACCAAGAGGGTGCAGCTAATAAGCTTACACAACTTTTGCACATGGACAGCACTCAATCACTCGCACACAGCGAGTGACTGAGTGCTCCATTAATAGGAGAATACTCAAATCACTAAAAGTCCACGCAGCATCTTAGCTAGCGTGCGACTGTACTGTGCACAGCAAGCTTAGATGCGTGAGAGAAGCAGAGCGTGCTCTGTTCACACCAGAAGAACTGCTGGTCAGGCTACTTCTTGTTGTGCCGTGCTCTCTAAAATAGTTATCGAATCAAGCGTTTACATGTGAAGGCACAGTAAACAGATGTTTAACAACCTGTTAAAAAACACCAGAATGCAGGAAATGGCATCTACTTTATTCAACATTTTCTGGGGGAGGACCAGAACACATTAAGTCCTGATACTTGGTATGACTACTGCTGTTATGATTCTGTTCAGTTTATGTAAAGAGTTTTCTGTAATAATTTGAATAAGTGTCAATACATTTATTATGTTCATTATGTGAATAGGTAAAGTTTTAATGTGGTTTTTGATGCTGTTAATGTTCTCAAAACTGTCATTTTTGGAAGTTGGAATTAAAAAAAGTGTGTCTTGAATGAAAAATACCCCATGTTTAAAAGTATAAAAATTGTATTAACACTTAAAGAACAGATCTCAGGTATTTATGTTACACAAAAATTTCCAGTTAAAGAGACAAATTGAAGAAAATTATATAATAAACATGAGAGTTATGAGGGGGTCCCTGAAATTTGTTCTCCCCTGTAAGGGGTCTCTGAACCCAAAAGTTTTGAGAACCCCTGAGACTTTTTCAAAACACTTCTTCAGACTTAAGAAGTGTTTTGGAGAAAAAATGAAACGTTTCAGAAGAATGTGTCCAGAAGACCTGACTCAACCGCGTTAGATCTTCTCTCTAAAATGAATATTGGTTCGGCAAAGTGCTTTCTAAACGAACCACAAATATTTCGGAAGTAATGTCCTTTTGGACACATAAAACCAAAGCAAAGAGGTTCACCAATAATGCAACGCTCCCTGTCTAGAGAAAACTACTAACACTCATGTCAAGAACTACAAACATTCATTATTTAAACCCCTCAGCGATAGGGGATATCAGCACACTGATTCTTGTAGATTTTAAAAGTACGCTGTTGGAGTTAAAGTAATCACCAAAGAGAAAACGGCAAACCAAAATTAGATATTAACTGCACTTCTCTGAAAATTAGTTATCTTTTTCAAGATAATATTAACAGTGTTAAAAAAAACATAAATGACAATTTTCTGTGTTAAAAGTAAAGCAAAGAACTCAACTATATTTAATGTTATTTTAACTGTATATTAAGTTAGAATATGACGTCATTTGTATAAAACTATTAAGATTACTGTATTTTTGTGATAATTATTCAGGATGAAACGAACAGATGGTACAAACAAATTGAAACCATGTATATGGTGTTTCGGTTTGACACCACTGAAAGGAGAAGTGGTTCATGAGACCTCTACGCTGTTTGTCCACCCACATCATGCAGAACGTTCAAAAACTTTTGTATTTCAGCCAACTTGGATAATTCAGTGTATATTTGTTTTGTGATTTCACAATTAGTGACTGTTCTTTAATGTTCTTAAAAAAGACAAGTGTTTGAAGGAAAAAAAAAACAGTGCAAGACAAAGTTATGGCAACTTGAGCTTTTTTTGTGTGCAGACAAACCACTTGAGCTTCATGTCAGGAACAGCTTGTTTTGCTGTACTGTCAGGAAAGGAAAGACAAACAGTGATAGCACTAAATCCTCGGCCTTTTCTCTTAATTCTTACGTGAGGCATCTCTGCTTACCCGTCGCTACACACCCTGGAAGATAGGCCCATGAATAATTCAAGCTGATATGATCTCACTTGAACTTGAGAGGGGACGTGTAAGTCAGCTCTTTACAGCTCTTGCAGGAGTGTGACCATGAGAAAGAAGAGAGAGACACAGCACAGTGTGTGTGTAAGTACATGAGGTCAGTATATAAATGCTCCTGTGACACACCAGGTAAGAGTTTTACGCTGATTTTGATTCGCCGTACGATGGGAAGCAGGTGATTTTCCTGACATTACTGTTGTCACACAGTAGATGGCCTCTCTGATAACTGAGATCGAGGTGTTGACGATCCTGTTCTCCATGCTCGTCTTTGGCCTCTTCACACTGATTGGAATGATCAACGAGGCATGTCCGCTCCTGAACGGTGAGGCTGCAAAATGACCCACAAAAAGCAAAACTGTGAATTTAATAACCATTTCCAGCTTGTTGCATCAATATAATTTTGTTTTCTATCACTCGCTGCTTTATTTACTTTTCATCTTATATGCTTTTTATGACCGTTTATTGTTCAGGTCTCTCTTGTAAACGAGTCCTCGTGACTCAATGAGACTAACCTGTATCAATAAAGGTTGACTGATAGTATCGAAACAATACATTACATCAATAAGCTCTATTTTGAAAAAAAAACAAAAAAAAAAAAAAACAATTGTAATGTTTAAAATTTTAATAAAATCCACAGCATGGATTTACCAAGTAAATTAAAAGACAACATTTAAAAGAGCAAAACTAATTTAAACAAGTTATTTTATTGTTTTGAATACTATCAGCTTATTTTAATTCCATTGTTAGCAGCAGATTCAAAGAAGTTGAGATAATATTGTGTTTACCAGCATATTGCGTTCACACCCCTCCTCTGAGACAGAACACTCTTTGTTGCCTACATTTCTCATCTTATTTAATTTCTGGATTTAAGTAGCTGAATAGTTTTTATGTTTTTATTTTTAAAACTTATCCTCTCTCAATGGGATGTCAGTAACTTCAGGCAGCTCAGAACCAAGACTCTTTGAATCCGGAGCCATGTGGGTTAGGTTACAAGAACACTGTGGTTTAGTAATGCATTACTCTGACAGATGAGGCTTTCAATTAACAAGACATGCTCTGAGCTGCTGTACAAACTGCTTATAGATGTGCAGATAACACATTTTAAGATCGCTAATGCACTCCCACTCTATCACAAATTGTGGCTTTGGTCTTCTTCAGCACAGAGAACGAAATGTAAAGAGAATGTCAGACTGCTCAGAACAGTTCAGTTAACGTCATTCTGTCTTTGGTGTTTCAGGCAAACAAAGCATTAAAGATTTTGTATGACATTTAGCTGATTCTCTCATTAACTGTGATCGTGTTAGCATTTTCAGCTATCACATCCAGTAATTAAACAACTATTCTGTGTTGCCCTAATCGATAAAATATGATTTAGACTAAATGTTTTATCTAAACTGAGAGAGCTTAATAAGAGTTTAGTAGCTTGATAATCCTGAAGGTTCAGGGTCATTTTAGGAGTTGAAACGAAATAACTTAAAATGTCTATTATCTACATAATATTTACATTTAGATCTTTATATTTACGCCATAAGATGGAATGTGTTTCATGTTTATGCACTGATCCATTAAGAGTAGTTATTATTACGTTGTTGTACACAGTATTCTATTTTTTAAGCATAAAAGATCAACTATTTTCTTTGTCTTCCAGTGAGATAACATTTTTGATATTAGGGTGAAACCGAAACACGTTATCTTTCTTGTTATTTTATCTTCTGCAGAGAAAAATGAGAAGTCCCAAAGCGAGGAGCTGTTGGTGTGACAATGAAACGTCAAAAGGCAGCAGAATCTTTCCTCCTATCAAGAGCTCTGAGGACACGTTAACTACAGCCCTGAGTGTGGCCGTGAGTTTTAATCAGTCCCCAAAACAAAGACTCCAGGCTGACCTCAGAACACACACGTGCGTTGTGAGGAGTCAGCGTTGTTTGCTTCCAGGCGGAAAGGAGTGGCCTACATTGTGCACTGAGAAAAAAGGTCATAAAGAATTACTTGCTTCAACTGTCACAGCATTATGTCTCCTGGTTCTTTCTGTATGTGAGAATACTACATTCCTTTATTTCGAACCTTCAGTCCAGCAACAACCTGAGCTATTCTTCTCTCAGTAAGTCTTTAAGCTACAAAACGTATTAATTTAATATTTTTAAAAGTGTCTGTGTCTTTGTGGCAGCTGTTGAAAATCTACGTCAGAACAAGGACAAGGTGTGCTGGGCGCGCTACAAAACATGTCAGTGACTCATCACACATTTTAAAAAGGTGTGTGTGCAGATGTTTAAATACAGTAGAAAGAACCAAACTGTGAAAGACAGGTCGTCAATGCTTGGCTTTACTGAAACTGAAACTGATAGCTACACTTGTTGAAGACCATGCGTCAAGAAGGAACTCATCAAAGGATCAGTCTGTATAGTTTCTATGCAGCCTGTCTCTTTTACATAGAGATGATCCGCTCTGATCTGATAAATACTGTGATAGCATTAAGGCTAATATTTAAAATGTGTTTTACCAGTAATAGTGTAAATGTTTATGAAGAATTCACACTATTGTAATCCATTTTTCTTCCGTACATTTTTTTGGCGCAATTCTCATCACGCAGTTTTGAAGCGGTTTCAACAAATTTTATCTCAAAACTTTCAGCTCTTTCAGGACAATCCTTCTATGACTTTTGGTATTGGTGCAACTTTAGCTTTTTGAAATATTTAGACTTTTCTGCCACTTTTTTCCTCAAAGAAAATTAATTGAGCACATTTTACCTCCTTCAAATCTTTAATCTGTTTACAACCTTTTACTGCTCCTTTTTTACATCTGTTTTTTGCTCCTTTCAGATTCTTTCTGAAAAGTTAATCTTTTTCTGCTATATCAGCTACTGTTTAGCTGTTTTATGCAAATTTTAGCTTTTTCAGATAATTCCACATTCATTTAAACTTTTT